TCCGTGAAACTCAGGTTCACGATTTATTCTACCGTTACGGATTCGACGAAGTCAGTGGGAATTTCCAGCAATATAACTTTGGAAAGGGGGGAAAGGAGGGTGACGGAGTCATCGCCAATGCTCAAGATGGCAGTGGTTACAATAATGTACGAGAATTTGCTGAGTCACAGTGTAGATTCGTCGAAACTGATCCCTTGTCTCTCTCTCCTTAGGCTAATTTCGCAACGTCGGTATCTTCTTGGATCCCTAATTGATGTTGTCTCATCAGAGTTTCTATAGTCCTCCAGATGGGCAACACGGGCGCTGCCGCATGTACATTTGGAACACAGCGGTCGTAGGCATAGTTTTCTTTTTGTCGCCCGAAAATAGCGTGACTGAGAAAGTGTTGATCTCTCAGCCCTACCGCGATGGTGATTTAGAGTCTGGCATTGTTATTCACGAGCTTGCGCACGGTTTATCCACCCGTCTCACTGGCGGTCCTGCTAACAGCGGCTGTCTTGGATGGGGTGAAAGCGGTGGCATGGGTGAAGGATGGGGTGGTGAGTGGTTTGCATTCAGCAATGCTTCCGGTGACCTTCAACTTTCTTATGCCAGACTTCATCGCCACTACTGTCCGCAGTACTAGCGCTTACAAGGATTATCCTATGGGTGCTTGGGCTGCAAATCAGGAGCGGGGCATTCGGAACTATCCTTATTCAACTGTAAGTGAAAAAATGATCATGTGTGCGTGTTTATTTATGCTGATGATTTTTTTTAGGATATGAGCATCAATCCCTCCACCTACAAGACGTTGGACAAGCCTGGTTACTGGGGCGTTCATGCCATCGGCGAGGTTTGGGCAGAGATCCTCTGGGTTATCGAGCAAGAATTCATTAAGAAGCACGGATTTTCGGACACACTCTTCCCACCCCAGCCTGATGAGAATGGCGACATCCCAGAGGGAGATTTCTATCACAAGCAGGAGTACAGGGCCGACGGCACCAAGAAGCCTTTGGTACCCAAGCACGGTAACTCTTTGTTCTTGCAGCTCGTGATCAATGCTATGAAGTTGCAGCCTTGCCGTCCTTCGTGCGTTTGCTCTTCGTTATCGCCCTCGATGAGGCTCATGCTGTTTGGTTAACACTAGATTCTTCGACACTCGTGATTCTATCCTCCAGGCTGACCGAATCCTTACCGGAGGCAAGAACCAGTGTGAGCTTTGGATTGGATTCAGTCAGCGTGGATTGGTATGTTACTATCGTTGCGCGATAACATATCCGTATACTGAGTCTGGTCTACCATAGGGTCCTGATGCAACCATTATTGGCTCCACTCCTTGGGGTGGAGGTGTCCGCACTGATGTGAGTTCGCGAAAATTTAGCTCATTAATGATCGCTCAACATCCTTCCTTTCAAGGATTTCGACGTTCCCCCTGGTGTTTGCAACAAGTAGAGGCGTACTTTCGAAAGATTCAATCGGCGATGGATACAAGATGTCGAATTATACATACATTACAGTACTACCATGGGTCGTCTATAGCTTTTTTTAGACTATTGGTACTACCATTCTATATGGCACTTCAACGTCTTACAAATTTCTGTGTGGATCCTCATTATACGTGTACAATTAGGTCAGCTATGGATCTGGGTTGGATTGGTTTCATGTTGTCAGCATGCGCCACAGTGTGTCAATATTGCTGTCATTGCATGCTGTTTTGCGTCCGCAGAACTCGGTTAAACGAACTTGGATCGTTGCGCGCGCACTGCTACGGATCGATCTAGCTCGCTGCAAGTCCAAACCAGTATTTGCTTGTGTAAACAGTACTAGTCAAAGCCAGACGAACTTCCGTGTCTTGATTGGTTTCGAACGCAGCAATGATAATAGGCATAACCGGATTTCTTTCACTGATGAAATTTCATTGCCGGTTGTAAGTATAACCGAAATCAATGCCATCAAGCTTTGCTAGGACTTTCCCCTTTCGGTTCCGTCTGAGGTGATACCTTTCTACTCTTTTCAGGTGCTGATCGATATGCACCATGCACACTCATTCACTTTGATGCTCATGTACGTATTAACCATACTGAATTCTGCCTCCTGTGTTTTGCGTCTCGGTGCTCGAATCATTTTCCCTTTCCTTGCGACGTCCAAAGCTCTTCGAGCACGATCCAACACTTTCGGTCAAATGTCAAACATCGCCGTCGGGCCCGTTTAGTCATCCATCGGGTAGAACGACGTTAGTGGCGTAATGCATGCTTTGCCGCTAGCTCATTGCGTCCTCGAGTTCTATCTTTCTGCGGCTTTCGACATGCTTTTCCTAAGTAATTATATTGAAGAATCAAGTATGTTGATACTGCAATGTATGCTAAGCAGCCCAAAAAGTGTGAGAGCAGTCAGCCAACCTTCACTGGTTATTACCGTATGCTGCTAAGGGGGAACTCAAATGACCTCGTATAAACGACTCTACACATACTATATTTCGAAGCTGAGGCTCTTCGACAATTATGCCCCTATGTGGCGTAGGACTATCGAGAGCATATTCGGTTCCTTGTATCGGAAGACTAGAGCGCTAGGGCGTGACCCAACGGTACCCAAGACCCACACGATGCCTAGCTAATTGTTCCTTGTGAAGGCCAGAGTGTGATTCTCCTTGATCGTCTGACGAATACCCAAACGCCTTATTATCCCCCTGAACTTGGGTCAATGCTGGTGATGCAGAGTGAGCAGCAACACTAGGTGATGGCCCATAGGCATGGGCGTTTGTGGTCAGCGTGTATTCAAGAGTCATCCTTACGGCGGAGGTCAATCTCGTCCGCGTCTCGAGAAAACGCCCTTCTTCAGGTAAGGAAGCACTTGAAGTTATCTCACGAGGCAATAAATTAAGTATTGATGGCGCATTGGGCTCAAGTCCATATCGAGTGGCCGTGCTGGATGACGCCTCTGCTGCGTGGGAATAGCCCAAAGAAGTTGTTTAATGTCTCAGTACTTCATTGATTGGTGTGGTAGCTTCATATGATTCCTGTGCGTCGAATTGCAATCAATCCGCCTCGTGTCAACCGCTGGCTTGCCGATATGTTACCAATTGACGGTGACTAAATAACCTGGTGGATCAGTAGAAGAATCCACGGGTGTGCAGTATGGGGCAGTTCGGGTCCTGGGTTTCATCGATCAGGTAAGTTCTATACCTGATCTTTAGGTGTTGCTCAGCAGTGAACGCATTTCACAACAGGAATCAAGCGGATGGGAACTAAATATTGGTTTCATGCGTGAGACTACCAGAAAATGGGAGTGAATAAACAAATGTATGCCGCGAAAATGGCGCAGTGGGAAGTTTATGGGGACCATATTTGATGGATAATGCCCCTTCCACGGTATAAATATGCAGGAAGACTGCAGCGTGCTATACCCCCTTGACGGACTTGGAACTGTACTGAGTGGCTCATTAGTCTGTTCAACCCCGTGCCGATTGTGGGGATGTGTGATCCTGGTCATCCAATTTGTACCACATGCAATGGGTGGGTAGGGTGAGTAAACCCCGCAGAGCGGATCGGTGGTTGAGAATATAATGGTCCACAGCAGTGCGATTCTAAATGTCCACACGTCCGACACTGTTGATCATCGTATTTGAACGCGTGTGACTCACTGGAGCGCCGTCATCGCCATCGAGAGACATATTGTAGGGGAAGGGAACACTCGGGATCCACAGATGAACATGGTGAGCGAAGTGTTGCCTTGGAAGTGTATGCAAAGCAGCCCAAAACGTGTGAGCAGTGGGGCTAACTCAATGAGTATCAACGACTCTACATATATGTTTCGAAGCATTATCCCGTGGCGTAGGACTATCGAGAGGATATTCGATTCCTTGTATCGAATGACTACGTGTGACCCGACCCGACCCAAACAATGTAGATGCCTAGCTAACTGTTCCTTGTGAAGGCCAGAGTGTAATTCTCCTCAATCGTCTGGTTCCGGGTGGCTTCCGTGGTTCTGCACTAAATTAGCGCTTCCATCTTTTTTTTCCGTAAAGTCTTGAATATAATGCGCAATCTTCTGTGGAAGGTGCACTCCTGGTCGATCGACAATCAGTGGTTAGCAGACAGACTGTCAGTCAAGGTATCGACAGTTAAGGCAAGTTTGTGGGATTCCAAGAGCATGCTGTTTCCGCCAGCGAGCGCGACGAATATGGGTTGAAATGTGCTCGCCAATAGGGAAACGTAAACCGCAAACGCCTTATTATTCCCCTGGACCCGCGTGATGTAGAGTGAGCAGCAACCATGGGCGTATGTGGTCGGCAGGAACCATCCTTACGGCGGAGGTCACGGAGGTTAATCTCGCCCGCGTTTCGAGAAAACACTCTTCTTCAAGCAAGGAAGGACTTGAAGCTATCTGGAGCAATGGGTACGAGGCAGACGGCGCAAGCGCATTGGGTTCAAGTCCATAGGGCTGACATCTCTGCTGCGTGGGGATAGCCTAAAGAGGAACTGGGCCACTCAGAGTCTCACTTTTCGAAACCGTTAATTGGTGTGATACCTTCACATGATTCCTGTGCATCGAATTTATATTTACTTCCAACGATCGGGATGAGGCGCTGATCGCAATCAATTCGCCCCGTGTCAACTCTGGCTTGCTGTGATTGTGCGGTGACTAAATCCCTTGATGAGGCGGACTGTTGGTGAATTTTCCCCGTCGCGCGGGCCGTACTTGCAAGGACGCCAGCGACTCTTAAATAACCTGGTGGATCAATAGGAGAATCCGCGGGTGCGCGGTGCGTGGTAGTTTCGGGTCCTGGGTTTCACACCTGCTCTTAGGGATGCTCAGCAGTTGAACAAGGCGTTTCGCAACAGGAATTAAGCGGATGAGAACTGAATATTAGTTTCATGCGTGAGAGTACGAGAAAATGGGAGTGGATAAACAAATGTATGCCGCGAAAACGGCGCAGTGGGAAGTTTATGGGGACCATATTTGATGGATGATCCCCCTTCCACGGTATAAATATGCAAGAAGATTGCAGCGCGCTATACCCCCTTGACGAACTTGGAGTGGCTCATTGGTCCGCTGCTCTACTCCGTGCCAACTGGGGCTCGAGGAGCCGGTTCGAGCCATCACCGGCTGCGCATGCACTGGTGTTCCTGCCTGCTCTTTGTTATTGGTTGGTTCGGAAGTCTGGCGGCGAGATGAACGGAGTGATGAGACGATGTGGGAGTGCGGGGTTTTTGTGACACTACGCTTACCGAACCGATTTTCAAGTGGAGATCCTAATACAAGAATCCCCCCATTCTGGACGTCCGAGTCAGTCGTCGGCCCTCCAGTGGAAGTCATCAAGTAGAAAACGTACGCTGGACCCGCCATGACCGGGAGAATCATTATGGGGAGCATCCACATCTCCACTTTGTGGAGATATAGGACTAAGGGCTATGCCCTCGTCGGAACTTCCCCGTGGTGTAATGCGGAGGACCAATATCAGAAATGATAAATAGTGTACCTGCACAGACAACATCAGATTTCTGCATGTATTAATGTCGAACATAAAGGAAAACTAACCGGTCCGGACAAAACCGACATCAAATCCATGACAAGTGGATTGGGCTATGTAGTGGTAAAGGATGGAGATGAGCCGGTCCGCGAGCTCTTGTCAGATTATGTCTCACCCAAAAGAGGAGGAGAAATCCTCTTGGGAGTTGTACAGGGAGAACGAAGAGGAAAGCAAGAATCTTGAGAGTTATTTAATATAGTGTGGCGTTTGACAAGTGGCCTTTACGTACACAACGCTGCCTCCATTTGAATAATGTTTGCTTGAACATATCATCAGAAGATGGTTGTCGCAGCCCTCTGCTAAGAATTCGCCGTTGTTCTACATGCCAGAGAAGGAAGAAAGTGATGGCGAAATTCATGAGCAGGCAGACGGTGCCTGTGAACATGGCCGTCGCCATTATACGGTTTCGTCGTTGATCGTGTGAACTGACGGGGGGAACAGAAACTGTAGTATGAGGTCGTCACGATGAGTAAAGCAGCAAGAACTTACGGCCCTTGCTCCGCTAAAATTACTCCATAAATAGACAGTGCTGTTGAAGGTGTTAAGCGAAGGAAACGTGTGAGACACAATAGCGCCCACCGGACTCAGCTGCACAGAGAAAAATTGTGACCACCAAACAAAATAAGACAACTGGGTGCGTCAATCGGCGGCAGCTGAAGCATGTACAGATTGACCGTAAGGCTCTGACCGTCTACAGCATTAGACTCTAGAGTGGATGACGAAATGGAGACCTTGCCTGAAGCTTAGGAATACTGAAGGCAAACACAATCAGAGTGGGAACATAGTCAATGGCCAGAATTATACTACTGACAGTGAAATCCGCTGATTGTTGGAGCAGAGGCTAACAGAGTGCAACTTCGGAGTGTCGTTGCAGCCATTTCGTTGACCGAATTGTCTGGAACATAGGTCGAGGTAATGACCGAAGCCTCAATATTCTGGTGCAATAGCATACTGACAGGTCCAGAGATGTTTGGTTATGAGAAGCTCCCCACTAACTATGTGGGAATGAATGTATATCAATTGGTGTGATCCTGGTCATGGAACTCACCAATTTGTACCACATGCAGTAGCATGAATAAAATAGCAAAAATGAGGTAACCCCGCAGAGCGGGACGGTGGTTTGGGGATGATATGATGGTCCACAGAAGTGCCGCTGGGGTACCGGAGACACAAGTGAGGATAGCGAGCCCCACAATGCAAAGAGCGATGCTAATGTCCACACATCAGACACGGTCGATCATCGTATTTGAACGCGTGTGACTCACTGGGCCGCCGTCATCGTCATCGAGAGGAATATTGTAGGGGAAAGGGAAGTCAGTAACAAGGGATCCTCAAGACGAACACGGTGAGCAAAGTGTTGCCTCGGATGCAAATGCTATGTGCTGAAGCGACTCCCGTCAAGCATCCTTCGGCGAGCTAAGCTAGGTCGACAACCTTCGAATCTCATCACGCAATTTCTTTTCTGCCACACCAGCCGGCGCTGCTCACACGATCCTGGGCTGGCGTGTGGCGTGTGGCGTGCGGCATGCCGCTTGAATGGAATTATTTGCACGAACCCTGGGAGGGGTTGCTTCTGCCACATGGACATCCAGAAGATCAGGACTGGGCATTCCAAGTCCACGAAATAAATGGGTTGCGCGAGAACAAGCACCATTCACCTCGTCAAAACGTCTTCACTCGATTGATTTTCCCCCTACACCAGTGACGCTGCGGTACTATTTTTAAGATCAGCAGCAGAGCAGGAGCGCGCATGCGATATCTGGCCTGTAGGTCTCTCATGTACAGTCAAGGTGAGCGACATTCATGAACCCAAAGATGTGATGTTGGATGGGGGAAATTGGCAAGAGCGGCGAAAACATACAAGGTATCATCGTTTAGTATTTGGATTGATAACGTCAAGTCTCGACCCAAGATTTCGTGCATCCCAACGCCCAACGCATTTCAGCGTGTATCGTTACGCAGTGGTGTGCCCGAGGAAATCAAGGTTCGCGTTACTTGTACATTTCGCACAACGTCAGCTGAAGAGGTAAGTAGACACAATACCTACTTCGAGGCGCGACCCACAAGAAGACGCTGCTGACTCTCAGTTTGTGGACAGGATTCAAACGTTGACAGCGTTAGATAGAAATCCATCCTCGGCCGAAGGCGCGCAATGTGGCTCTGATTGATCTACCATCGATTACGGTCCAACAGTACGCTGATGACATTGGAGCTGGACTTGATACTACAATTGGCGACAGAGATCGGCACAGACGTTTAATATGCTGGATGGAAAAGGTAACGGGAATGACTCGAGAGAGGTGTAGGGCACTTGAGCAATCAGGTCAATTCGACAAATCGGCTCGATGATCCCAACGTTCCGAGCCGGAGTAGGAAGACTCAGCCTATATAGCCAGGACATCAAGGTTTCCAGAATTCCATAGCGCATACAGTATGAGCCGCTGCAATTAGTCCGGTCGGAATGCAGTGTTGCGTTTAGTCGAGGCCGGATTGCCAGCATTTAGTCCGGGGGGGTGCACCACTTCAAACAAACAGATAGGTCATTGGCAACATTTTGGATGTGAAGCGAGCTTTCTCTTATCATTCTAATTGACGGAACCTTAAAGTCCGCAGAGATAATCAGGTATGACAGAACAGTTACTACCCGCGCGGCATTCTGAATGCCAGCCCTCGGCGAACGCCGCTTTCATACACTGGTGCAGCCATCCCTTGTGCCTTGCTGGCTGCACGCATCCCTGTGGTCGTTTTTCCGGGCTGCTTTGCCTTTTTGACTACGACGATCTACTTTATCAGGCTGTTGAGTCTTGGTTGTTATTGCACAATTCTTGCAAGTAATACCCAAGAGGACTATCGCATCCGAGACCTCAACACCGTTTCCTCTCTCCTAACGGATCAATTTCCTCCAGACTCGCGTCGACATTTCTTTTTGTCTCGACACATAAGCACTGCTGATGCACCATGCACTTAAACTTGGTGGTTCTCCCAGTCTCGGACCTCGTCTTCGGGCTTATGCGTTAACCACACTGGATTCTGCCTCCTGCACCTTGCACCTTGCCGAGACTTTCACTGCCACATAGAAAAAGGTTTCATCAATTCTAGCTCCTTATTAGATTTACTTTACATGCGACGAACAGCGAAGAATGAGTTCGGGTGACGCAGTCAGGCCACCTGAGTATGCTAATACATCGGTGTAAGGGCTCAGGTTAGCCCGACGTTTCCGGACTATCATAAGGCATACGGCAAGCGTGGCAGGTTGGTCCATTTCGAGCATACTTTACGATCTGAGCCCGACACACTTGACAAAGAACATGGCCGCATGGTGCGCCAGTCGTTGGGGCCCGCTCTGTGTCCATTTCTTCGAAACATATAGGGCACTCCAACGTATAGGGTTTGCCTTCGGGTGATCGCAACACTGTCCTGACTTGAAAGAGATTCCAAGCAGTCCATGATTGGGAACCCCTATGGGCCATGGGTGATTCTTGATGACGGCCGCGCCAGGTATTCATCCACCTGGAAAGACGCCTCCAAATCACCATGGGGTCTCGATAGAGAAACAATAAGACGATCGACCATTTGTCAAGTGCTTGCCGAAATCTCAGAAGCATAAGATAACCGCAAATAAGTGCGTTGGCGACGATCAACAAAACCAGACATCCTGTAGCGTACGAAACAAGGAGTATCGAACGCATGACATTCAAAACATATGGTTTTAGTTCGTAAGTATGCCTAAAAGTCGTGGACAGAACTATTGGCATAATGTGTAAAGACGGGGGGATACAACTGACTCACAGGTTTTCTGTGCTCAAAAAGCCAAAGGGGGTTGGATTGGTAGTTGACATGGTGGTGCTGTTAATTGCAACTGGGATACGTGCCCTTCAGTCAGGTTGATACAGCGTTTGTCAAAGAGATAGAACTGGCGAATGGAAACCATACCCTATGCGAAGTGTTGTTGGTCATAGTAAGGAGGAAGGAAGAATCGCCAGCGAGAGGGCAGGTTTTATCTAGAATCAAAGCGTCGATTTCAAATCTCAAGGAACACAGGTGCAAGTTTCACGAACTTGCGAGATGAGACTCAAACCAACGATGGTCCCACCGGCTGGGCGCATTTGATCCTGCTCTGTTTATTGCTGCAGATTCCTCCACCAAGTTAAGATTTGTTTTGGCGTCCCCCGCTTCCGATTGGCTGTTTCCAAGTTGCCGTTCTCTCCTGTCCGGCCGCTGTCTTGTTCACACTCAGAACATCTATTGTATTCATATCCTCATGAAGTTATTCCCACTATTTTGTAGCGACTTTATAACTTAGGCAGAGTGCGACGGCTCCGATCGCTCGAACTGTGCCCCTGAATTGTATCTCCAGAATGCATCTCTTGTTTCACTCTGGAATTCGGTGCTCACGTCGAGCAGATTCATCGTTCTGCGATGTCGAATTGGTCGTGACAGGTATGTGTATTGACCCACTTCTGCTGCCCTTCGTGCTCAAGTATCAATGTCAACGACCTACCAACCCTCTTCCCAATACCTACCTACTCGCCTTAGATTCCCGGTGAGATCGGTCATATCTGTAAATAAGTACAAGTGAAGATAGAGAGATCCTCGAAAAGAACATGAATCTAAACCTATAAAGCACCCCAAACTTGGACGAAGTAGGACCATATTGCTCAACCACCCACACCGCTTTGGACAGGTGCGCCCGTTCATCTGGCACTTGCTTGCCACCATGCCCCATAGCTTTGGCTACAATCTCTCTTCCGATTTGGACGGCATCATGCGTTTAGGTGACTCGGGGTCGCATATTTATATCTCGATCCCTGACTTCCCTGCTGAAGACTGCATGCGCAGTTACTCCCACAGAGTAACCTCGCCTCGTTGTTTCCCCAAGGCAATGACATGACTCCTATCCCTGGCTGATTAATGGTGTACTTCATATAGGCTTGAATGTCGTGAGGAATTCCTTCCCGTAGTGGAACAAAGAATGTCAGTAAACCGGAGAACTGTTCCACCGAAAAACATAAGCACCGTTGATCTGAGTCTGTGACTGTGAATCGAACGAGCTGCGTGGCACCAAGGCTAGTTTCGATAATCTACTTCTAGTGTAACTACGCCAATTTAGGCAGGACTATTTATGCGCGGCCATCTGAATGGCCATTTTCTGAGCAGAGATTCAACGGTCATTATCTTCTGAGTGATCATCTACAGGACTAGACCCGATCTCTCTGAAGTCAGATGGGTGGCGATAGAGCGTTTTTTTCACGAGATGGTCGCGACGATGATTTATATGTAATCGCACAGAAAAAGTGGTTGCCGGCTCGACCATGGGGCGCGGGGAGCTGCATGGCTGTGCGCTTTCGCAGAGCTAGAACGACGAGTTGCTGTGCATGTATGGCCTGCACAAGTCTCAGGCATCTTTGGAAAGATGGACGTGAGGCGTCAGTTTGAGGGTCGTCGAGGAATTGTTATATCCAAATAAATCTTGTCCTTCAATTTATAAACTCTTCGAACGAGTGGGCGGTTAATGCCTCGACAAATGAAGAAAGACATTTCTCCTCCCATATCCCCAAATACCATGAGGGAAGAGATGTGAAGTATATCAAGAGGGGGGAACAGAAGCAGCACAGAAAGCCATGAGACAGGGAAAGGGGAGACGTGGATCTGTGTTCCGGCGTGGCGGGGAGCTGAATGGGCGCTTGTACCACGGGTCGGATGACATGAGAGGCACAGGTGTGAGCGGGAGGGAAGGTGAGAACGAGGAGGAAAAGGAACAAGGCGGGCTGGGTCTCAGCGAAGGGCAAAGCGAGATGGCTGATGATAGCGTAATAAGCGACAGGATAGGGCCAAGATGATGTCTCCGAGTTCGATCATGCTCTAGTGCGTAACACTCGTTCGGGGCGCCCCACGGTACGTGGTATCAAATGTTAATCCGGGCACTTTCTCCCAAATTTGGTATTTTATTGTCACTGTAGGTTGTCTGGCCATGGCGCGGGACGAGTTAGAGGGTAAATTAGTATAACGACACCTGTTCCAAAACGACGTTCAGCCCTCTGCGAGGTTTCTGGATGGATTTGTCCACTGCGGGAATACATACAGAGCGACTGTACCGCGTGATTCTGGCTATTATTGCACCAGGTTGTCTAAATTGGGGCTCGGGATAAATTTCGGTCGGGATGATGATATCTTTCCCAAGACGATGTCCAACTTGCAACACAGTTTCCATCTCAACTTGCCACTTCGCCATCGCCGTCCTCGAGGTATGCTGTAGTTCGATAAGCGTCAGATTTCGACTCGATGGACAGTTCAAAAAGCGCATGAATTCGTGCGGGCCAAAATAACTCCGCCAAATCAGGGTGCGCAATATGCGAAGTGTTTCAGGCGGTTTGGAGAATGAAGAGAGTGGAATTGGACTGAGGAGCGAGAGCTCTTCTAAATGTGGGGAGCTTTGGAAAAGTGCACAAGGGAGTTCGGAATAATCATGCCACTCCCATGTTTTGGTGATATAGAATTGGTCTGAGCCGACCGGACGACAAGTGATTATCAGCGTCCTGAGATTGGAAAATGCTTTTGTCGTTTGTATCATCCATAGAAAATCCTTGGGCGTTAACCAGTCTGGCCGCTGCACTTCTAGCACACGTAAACGGGAAGTGACACTCTCATCTTCCCCGAGACATTCTGTATTTTTAAGAAGCTCAAGTATATGGGGCAATTTGGGGCCCGACGTTTTCTTAAGACGAATTTCTGAAAGTCGTGGAAGAGAAGGGAGGCGCGAGATGGGAGTGAAAGGCCGGCCGAATATGGACATACGAGTGATTGGATCCCATTCATAAATAATCAAGGTTTCTAATGTCCGAGAAAGGTGCTGGAGAGCACAGCGCAGCCCGTGTGAGTAACACCCACTCGTCCACGTAAAATGTTTCATGGAAGTTGAAGGAGCGACAACAATCTCAAAGTTGTCATTGAACTGGGCGAGTTCGGCAAAGGCATCATGGTACCAACCAAAACTCTCCAAGCCCACCAGGTGCGAACATGATGCGATAATTTCGTTTACCAGTATAGCCCTCTGATTGAACCGGGCCAGCTGATCGGGAAACTGGTCAATGAGAGATGGTCGGTCCTTCAAATGACGAATTCGAGAGTCGAGAATGATGGTTCGAACGAGGCTCCCATGGAGCTTGAGTGATTCGCGGAGAGAATATACGGATGCTTCGGTGCAGATGAATATTGCGATTTTACGATAGAGGCCACGCATCACAGGGTCGACCCAATTACAGGAGACGAGAGCGAGAGATGCCAAAGTGGCACGTTTCTGGATGTAACTCGTCACAAATTTGGGGGAAGGTGAGTAGCCATCATCCCCAGGATACAGGTGACACGGGATGAGGTAGTGAACAATTTCGTGTATAATATCCGAAGGGAGTGTGTTCCAGGATCTGGATGGACGCACTGACCCCTTCGCGTGGGTGGGATGTTCCAATCCTCGTCGCAGCTCCTTGATCATGACGAGTCAAACCCCTAACGCCGACACTTGGAACCGGATCAGGCCAAGTACTCCAGGGCCAACTGGTCTGTCGTCAATTGCCGTAAGGAAGGGCAAGTGCCGACGTAACGCTATTGTGTTCCGTTGTGACTTCGATCGCCCATGGCATCTTCAACGGGCATGGTTTGCTGCCAGTTTGACGCAACAGCCCTTGTTTAGATCGAGAGGACGGGCCGTTTCATTGGTTATCATTCTTCCAGCCTGATGGTTTCTGTGTATTCCTCAACCTCAAATACTCTGGCCATTATTAATGTCTTCTATTTATACATGATTTTGCATGAAAGAAGGGAGCCGTCCAAAATACCGGCAATACTACAGAGGCAGCTTCTGAAAGCTGCCCCATGCTACTCCATGAACGACGATATCTCTTCCGTATGATTTGCTTCTATTTGATGATCGAACATGAGCCCAGGCTTTTGAGTGAGGTACATACGGGCACTTCATGATCGAAACCCAACCCCTGCAACATTTCTTGCTGCCATCTTCCCTATCTGCGATGTCGTCCCAAGCACGGCCCTCATCATTTCTCAATAGCCCAACTCAAGTATTTCAGACTCGATTGCCCGCTATGGACCAAGGTCGCCTTGCGGGTGTCCTGGAGAGACAAAGGAAACAGCATTCTAGGTATTTCGGCATCGGGAGACCTGCCAACGAGACGATACTCTATGGCCCTGTCAATGCCATTGTGAATGCTGTATTCCCGGAAAACAGTTTATACAGGCCTATGCAGCAGTACACGCTAGAAGATGGGAAGCGGGATCAACGCGAACTGCTGCGACCTGACATTACTGTAGTAACTGATACAGAACTTTTCGATCAAGACTCGGATTCCCTCACCTGTTTGGTGATAGAGGTGAAGAATAAGCCACTTTCTGCTAAAGATAGGAAGGAGGACACAAGGAAAGCGGTGGATCAACTCTATCGGTACATGATCGATGCCTATCAAAAGAGACGTTGTCCGAATATACTATACGGCATTGCCATCGTAGGCTTTCGAATGTACCTGTACCAGATGAGGGGCATAGGTGCACCGATGATTCATGTCGAGTCGGGATTTTCCCCAAATTTTCTAGACAACAGTGCAGCCGGGCTTTGGACAGACATTCGCAACTTGGTTGACGATGAAGTGCGTGAGAAGGCACTTACGTGGCCGCGTGCAACTCGCTCTCTCAACAGCAGTGTGGGTGTGGCCCAACAAGATACTGACATGGAGAGACCCCGAGATACGATGGGTGGTCTCTTTGAAGATGTCGTGGCATTGAGATTCCCTCCAATGCCTGAACCCAAGGACCCCAGTGTATTCGGTACCGCATCTTACCTACCAGGCCTTAGCCCTGCAAACACCGATTCTACTGGGCACCACGAAATCGAGAGCCCAATACAACTCCGTTCAGCGGATCGGGTTGGGGAAACACTTTCGTACATTCCATTCTTCAATTCCCCTGCCTCAAGCAACTTGAGCAGCGATCATCAAGTCGGCGGGACACCACGTCTCCCCAGCAGTGCCCAACAGATGTCCACCCCCCAGCCAGGCCAATCACGGCCTTTCCACGGAATTCAATCCATGCCTGCCACTCACTCAGGTGGAATGCCACTCACTCCGGGGGTTCCCTCAGGCTCTGTGCCGCGACCCATCGGAACGCCATCCTCTCCGAGTCTTCTCTTGCCTCCATTGGAATCACCTGAATCACCACTCCATCGCTTCTCAACACAAAGGAGGCAGCTGCAGATAACTAATAATGTTGGCGCAATCGGTATCCTTGTGAGAGACCAGGATCAGTCCTCTGGCACTGCAGGTCAAGGCGAACCTGAAGAAGGTCAAGTTCCTCGAGGTGGCGCTGGCTGGAACCCAAGCTATGCTGCTAATGTGCCTAGAACACCTGAACCAATTGGCCGGTGCACCATGACGGACCGGTACTCTATCCCGGCTTCACATGCACCTTCAACCAGCAGTCAACCACGTAACTTTCCGGCTCCCAACATTGCTTTGCAACGCTCGCGGCACTTTCGCGCATCCGAGCGAAATGTCGACAATAATAGCCCCGATACGCCCACCCCTTCAACTGTTACAAGTGGGATTGATCAGAGCAGGGGAAGTGATGCCCAACCAACTCACCCCAATTTCGGCGGAAGATAGGTCGCGTCGTACGTAGCAAGGGGGTTCTTGCCATCACACTATTGCTGAACACGATTGCTTGTAGATCCAACAAGCACATGAGCTCGTAGCATGATCATCTCTTTATAGAGTGGGACCAAAGGCACTGATGTCCACGGGCGTTCTGTTCTCTCTTGTATTGTTGTTTAGAGGACCCAAGCAGGGACCGTGTTTAGTTGGGCCTTTACATACAGAGAGTGAATGATAGACACGTACACTGTGTTCCACATCTAGCTCAGTGTCACAATACGGACGACAACATGCATCATTTAGTGGCCACAGTGGTTCTCTGCACCGCCAGTACCTGAACTTTTGCGTGTCATCATTGTGTGATACTGCGGGCTAGGATCGCGGACATGGCCTCAAGATTTATTTGAAAAGGCCCGCAGTTAAAATTAAACTGGCAATATCATACCGGTGGTGGCAATCATACCCACCTGGATCAGATGGCGCAAACAGTGCGAGTCAGGTGAGACGAGAATCGCGTTGGGGGTGCCGAGGATGGAAGGGGCCCGTATCCCAGTGACCCCCGACATCGAGAATGCCCGCTTCTTGTTCGTGCGCACCTCGAATGGATTAAGGTGCGGAGAGGAACAGGAGCACAGAGAGCCATGGGATATGAATGGGTCTGTGTTCCGGCGTGGTGGGGGCTGTACTTTGAGGAAATGCACTTGTCCAAGCCCTCGAGCCCAACGAATCGAATGAAACGAGAGACACAGGGGCGATCATGAGGGAAGGCGAGAACGAGGAGAAACAGGGACAAGGCTGGGCTGGTCTCAGCGAACGGCAAAGCAAGATGACTGCTGATAGCGTAATAAGCGGTAGGGTAAGGTCCAGAGGGTGTTTTCGAGTCCGATCATCATTCCCAGTGCGAGGCATTCGTATGGGGCGCCCAATGGTACACGGGACCAAAATGCTAACCCGGGCACTTCCCCTCATTTTATTGTCGCCCCAGGGTTGTCTGGCCATGGCGCGGGACAAGTTAGAGAGGGTATATTAGTATAACGATATCTGTTCCAAGACGACATTCAGCTCTCCGCGAGGTTTCTGAATTGCTTTGTCCACTGCGGGAATACATACAGAGCGACTGTAGCGCACGATTCTGGCTATTATTGCACCAGGTTGTCTAAATTCGGGCTCGGGATAAATTTCGGTGGGGATGATGGTATCTTTCCCAAGATGACTTCCAACTTGCAACACAGTTTCCATCTCAACTTTCCACTCGGTCATCGCCGACCTCGAGATATGCGGAAGCTCGATAAGCTTCAAATTTCGACTCAATGGGGAGTTCAGGAAGCGCATGAATTCATGCGGCCCAAAATAACTGCACCAAATCAGGGTGCGCAATATGCGAAGTGTTTCAGGTGGTTGGAGAATGAAGAGAGTGGAATTGGACTGAGGAGCGAGAGCTCTTCTAAATGTGGGGAGCTTTGGAAAAGTGCACAAGGGAGTTCAGAATAGTCATACCACTCCCATGTTTTGGTGATATGGAACTGGTCTGAGCCGACCGGACGACAGGTGGGAATCAGCATCCTGAGATTGGAAAATGCTTTTGTCGTTTGTATCATCCATAGGAAAACCTTGGGCGTTAACCAGTATGGCCGCTGCACTTCTAGCACAGGTAAACGGGAAGTAACATTCTCATCTTCCCCGAGACATTCTGTACTTTTAAGAAGCTCGAGCATATGGAGCAATTCAAGACGGATTTCGGAAAGTCGTGGAAGAGAAGGGAGCCGCAAGATGGGAGTGAGAAGCCGGCGGAATGCGAACACAGGAGTGATTGGATCCCATTCATAAATAATCAAGGTTTCTAATGTCCGAGAAAGGTGCTGGAGAGCACAGCGCAGCCCGTGTGAACACCCACTCGTCCACGTAAAATGTTTTATGGAGGGAGCGACGACAGTTTCAAAATTGTCATTGAACTGGGCGAGTTCGGCAAAGGCATCATCGAACTCTCCAAGCCCATCAAGTACGAACATGATGCAATAATTTCGCTTATCAGGATAGCCCTCTGATTGAACCGAGTCAGCTGATCGGGGAACTTGTCAATGAGAGATGGTCGGTCCTTCAAATGACGGGTTTGGGAGTCGAGAATGATGGTTCGAACGAGGTTCCCATGGGACTTGAGTGATTCGCGGAGAGAATACACGGATGCTTCGGTGCAGATGAATATTGCGATTTTACGATAGGGGCTACGCATCACAGGGTCGACCCAATTACAGGAAACGAGAGCAAGAGCTGCCAAAGCGGCACGTTTCTGGATGTAACTCGTCACAAATTGACAGAAAGATGTGTAGCCATCACCCCCAGGATACAAGCTGATACAAGTGACGTGGGATGAGGTAGTGAACAGTTTCGTGGACAATATCCAAGGGGAGTGTGTTCCAGGATCTGGATGCACGCACTGGACCCTTCGGGTGAGTTCCAACCCTCCTTGATCATGACGAGTCAAACCCCTAACGCCGACCCTAGAAATGAATCAGCCTAAGTAGGACTCTAGCTTCTGTGACTGCGTAAATATGATGCGGAAAGGCCAACTGTGTTGTTGGTCTCTCGTCAATTGCCGCACGGGGAGGGCAAGTGCCGACGTAACCATATTGCGATCACCTGTGGCGTCTTCGAAGGCCATGGTTTGCTGCCAGTTTGACGCAACGGACCTTGTTTAGATCGAGAGGACGAGGGCTTTTGCATTGGTCGTCATTCCTTCAACCTCAAATACTCCATTTCCGTGGTGTACTTATACCAGCCTGGCCATTATCAACATGTTATACGTGAAAGAAGAGAACCGTCCATAATGCCGGCAATACTACACGGTCAGCTTATGAAGGCTACCGCATGCTACATGAAAGAAAACATCTCTCCCGTATGATATGCTTCTGATTTGATAAGCCCGGGCTTTTAATACGGGCACTTCATGTTCGAAATCTAGCCCCTGTAATATTTCTTGCTGCCATCTTCCCTGTCTTCTATGTCGTCCCAAGCACAGCGCTCATCAGCTCTTAATAGCCAGCACAAATATTTCAGATTCGATTACCCGCTGCGGACCAAGGTCGCCTTGCATGCAGATGTCTGGAGAGACAAATTCTGGGTCTTTCGGCATCGGGAGGCCTGCCAACAAGACAATACTTTATGGCCCTGTCCATGCCATTGTGAATGCTGTATCCCCGGAAAATGGGAAGCGGGATCAACGCGAACTGCTGCGACTTGACATTACGATCAAAGACTCGGATTCCCTCACCTGCTTGGTGACAGAGGTGAAGAGTGAGCTAAAGATAGGAAGGAGGACACCAAGAAAGCGGTGGATCAACTCTATCGGTACATGATTGATGCCTATCAAAAAAGATATTGTCCAAGTGTGCTATACGGCATTGTCATCGTAGGCTTTCAAATGTACCTGTACGTCCCGATGATTCATGTCGAGTCGGGATTTGCCCCAAATTATCCAGCCAACAGTGCAACCGAGCCTTGGATGGGAATTCGCAAATTGGTCGACGACGAAGTTGCGCTTACGTGGCCGCGTGCAACTCGCTCTCTCAACAGCAGTGTGGGTGTGGCCCAACAAGATGCCGACATGGAGAGACCCCAATGTATTCGGTGTCGCATCTTACCTACCAGGTCTTACACTGACTTCACTGGGCACCACGAAATCGAGAGCCCAATACAACTTCGTTCAGCCGATCGGGTTGGGGAAACTCTCCCGTACATCTCGTTCTTCGATTCCCCTGCCTCAAGCAACTTGTGCAGCAATCATCGAGTTGGCGGAACACCACGTCTCCCCGCGGCCGGGCAGTGCCCAACAGATGTCCGCCCCCCAGCCGGGCCAAACACGGCCTTTCAGGGGATTCGATCCATTCCTGCCGCTCATTCAGGTGGAATGTTGGGAACTCCGCTGCAACTCGTCGGAATACCATCCTCTCCGAGTCTTCTCATGCCTCCATTGGAATCCCTTGAATCACCAGTAGTAGACATATTTTCTGGTTGTATAATACCCCGTGGCGGATTTGATCCTAAGGACAGGGCGTAAAGGCAATAGCTTTCCATAGATATCCGAAGGTCTAGACTCTGAGTGTTTAGATAGGAAGCAGGTAAAATCAAGTGGAAGTATATACATAGTAGTTTCCTAGAAAGAATGGGTTATTTTTCACACATTGATCATGGGCGGGGACACATCAAAAACATAACAGATACACAATATACATCAGAGCACGCATCCGAGGGATCAGAGTGATATAGACATAACCAAAGAGCACAACATATTTTGGATCACTACGATGGGAGATGCCGATCTCACAAGATTGACGCCAAAGGTAAGGGAGATTACTAAATCAGATTAGTAGTTCGAAGGTTAAGTCTCAGGCCGCCGTTCGGTATCTGCCGGTCCGTGCACGAACGGGGCCAGGCCCAAGAATTTAAAATTCCAGCGGCGATGGCATGCGCGTCCAGTCCCTGAAGCTATTAATTGGAGTAGAAGCCGTTTGTTGCGTCAGTTCCTCCACTCGAACCGGCTCTATGTCTTATCCTCCACCAAGTTATTAATATGTTATTTTTCCATTATCCTGCACTGACGCAAGTCCTAACCCCGTCGGCATGAAACGTTCTGACGTCACATTGCCTATAAGAACGATATCCTCTGATCATGAGTCCCCTCAGCCTCTGCCCTCTCTTTGACGGTCTACTTCATGTACGTCCGTACTCAAAAGGTCTTCACCCGTCCTCACATCCTTCTAGAAGCTCTGAGTTTTACAACAAGACCACGATCGAGTAGCACTTTCAATGTCCATCCTCACACGAAAGATCAAGGACGTCGAGATTTCAGGCAAGTAACCGAGCATATATGATATGCCGTCTCGGATTTGACGTCAAACTTGCTTTTGCACCCCAGCCATTGGATATGGCACCATGGGTATAGGTGGCATGGCCTATGGTGAGGCCGCTGACGATGAGGAGCGTTTCAAGGTGAGGCATAAATACAGAGTAATGTTAGAGAAACATTATGAGAATCCTTTTTTTTTCTCATTAGGTTCTCGATCGCCTTTATGAAATTGGTTGCAGGAATTGGGACACTGCCGACATCTATGTATGCTCTTTCTTCTCGCTCCGTATTGGGTTTGCTCATGTATGGATGCATTTGGACCATGGCAGGGAGACGCAGAAGACCTGATCGGAAAGTGGTTTAAACGTGAGTTCCTTTTAACCCGCTCCTTATTGACAATCAGTTCCACTTTTCTCACTTATCTGAAGGCACGGGAAAACGGAATGATATCTTTCTTGCTACCAAGTTTTCATTCTTCAAGGATAAAGATTCACAATTGACTCTTCGTGGGGACCCTGAGTATGTCAAACAAGCAGCTGCAGCTTCCTTGAAGCGGTCCGTCTATCTCGTACTAGTCTTTTCCCTCATGAACACTGATCCTTCTTACCGCCGGATTTCCAGTCTCCAAACGGATCACATTGATCTTCTTTACCAGCACCGACCCGATCCCAAGACGCCTATCGAGTTAACCGTGGGCGCGATGGCGGAACTCGTCGCGTACGTCTCATTTCTTTCTGTACTCATCACCACGTGTTTGCTCATTTGCTTCATTCAAGTGAGGGCAAGGTGAAGTGGCTTGGTCTGTCCGAGGCATCTCCGAAGACTATCAGGCGCGCATACAAGGTTCACCCTATTGCTGCAATCCAAGTCGAGTTGGTATTCGTTATTGGACTTACTTATATCTCTCACTCATAATCCCGAACCAGGTACTCACCTTTCGCTCTCGAACCCGAACAACCTGGAGGCATCATCGATACTGCTAGGGAACTTGGAATTGCGTAGGGGCTGCGTTACTTCCACTTCAAGGCCAAACGCTCTAACACCTTTGTGTTTTTTTTTCCAAATAGGATTGTCGCATATTCTCCTACCGGCCGAGGCCTCATCACCGGGCGTTACAAATCTCCGGATGACTTCCCTCCAGAGGATTTCCGTCGACACATCCCTCGTTACAGCCGAGAAAACTTTCGACACGTCCTAGCCCTTGTTGAAGTCTTCAAACGTATCACAGAATCTCGCCCTGGAACGACTCCGGCCCAAATCAGTATCGCTTGGTTACTTGCACAGGGCAACGACATCATTCCGATCCCCGGAAGTAAACAATTGAACTATGTCGAGGAGAATTGGGATTCTATTCATATAAAGCTTAGCGAGGCGGAGTTGAAGGAGTTGAGGGATAGTATCAAGAATGTTGAAGCGCATTTGGGTCCGGAGGCGAGGTATCCCGAAGGGCTCATATCTCAGCTCTATGCTGATACTCCCGAATTGAAGGAGTGAAGGTCTGCTCCAGTGAATGCCTTTCTGCGGTGGCCGATGACCTGTTTTTTGCTTATTATAGCGAAGGGGTGTCCAAAGAGCTCATGACGAATGGCTTTTCCACAAATTATGCCTGCACAGATGTTTTTTCAAAGTTGCTTCTCGGATAAATTTTGTAACAATGTTCCCGGTCACAAGTCATCATTTGCGCGGTTGTAACAATATATCAAACGAAATAAATGCGCAATGTAACTCTGGTTAACCAAATAGTGAGCTCGGCCAGTGCTTCCCAAAGTGGGGGGAGCTTTGCATGGGAAAAAAAAAACCATCGATAAGCAACACTGAACTTTGAAAAACGAGTTATCCTCATACAGAACTTATTTATTTTTTTCGTGCGCGTGTGTAATCTGCCGTAGATTTCGCTCTCAAAGACAACTGGTGGATGCAGCATGTCGCCCACTATTCTTACGTAATATTTCATACAATTGTTACATAATCCTCTATGACATAATAATCCACACCGTCTGGCCGTTTTTAGAATCAAATCTCACATTTTCATTGTCAGGGAACGTGCTGGGGGTCGCATTCAGGTCTACTAGCGGGAGAGAGTCGCCACCCCAATCGTAAGATGGACGGGTCTGCAGTATATAGCTGTAGCCGCAACGACCCGTATCGGATAGGATACTATATATAGTTCGCGCGCTTATGTAGGTTGAATGGTTTGATCCTCGGGGCTTCTTTTGACACAAGGAGATGTCGATGCTTGCACACAAAGTGGGTCACTTCTACACGTTGTTTTTCCATTCAATTTACATAAATGCGTAGCAACGACGAACCAACCCCAATTTTACCTTCACAGTGGGGGTAGCAGCTTATCATCTTGTCTCAACCATCTCTTCCGTGAAAACATCTGGTCTTGTCCTATCCAAAGTTCGTAAACTATCCAATCAGCAAATCGTCTCAGAAGCTAGGCCCAGATACATGTGGAGATCCTTGAAAAGTTCGCCACCCTCGCACTTATTTCGGGTTTCCACTGCGTGACGGGCAGCGTGGCCCTTCCTTTCCACCTTCCTGTTCTCTTGGGACAATGCTTATGACCTTCTGAGGCGCACGAGGCGCAGAGAGGAGTTGAAAGTCGTTGCATTGGAACGCAATCTAGCCCTCAGGAAGATCGAACGAGTCGAAGACGTGGCCTTCTCCATTATGATCGCCTTGATATCCTCGACGTCAGAGAAACAGGGAGGCATCGATCTCAATGATCTCGCTCTTGATTTGACATCCCAGCCGTCTGATTTGCTATCGATGGATGTGTCTCGCGTGCCCAATGCATCTGAGCCCGGCTCTGGGCCGGTTGACGGGTTCCAGGATCTGAGTGTCCATCTGTATGATGCCACTACGTCTGCGCTTTCTGGGGGGAATAACATCAGTCTGTCAGACGAGGTACACTCTCCGTCCTTTACTAGCACCCCGAAGTTCACACCTTTATCTGCAGGTTGGTAAACAGGGAACAAAAAAGGTTACTTGAGACGAAATTGTTGGTAAGTGAAGATTGTTACGGCTTTCACGTATGGTGCGTGCTAACAGCATCACCAGAAGGAATCATCTGATCCAAAAGAGGAGCCACCTAGAGGCTCCAGTGGTCGGAAGATGGGGCAGTCGCTCGGAGGAGGTGGTGCGGTGGTTGGCGGATCCTCTAATGCAGGGAGTACGCCAAGTGCGCCGGGTGATACTTGTCCAGTGGAGGAACGATTCCAGGTGTGTCTACCTTAGCTTCGTTCGACCTCTTAATTTTTTTCTGATCCAAGTGCAGCTCCAGGTGCGCCCAAAAAGTTATTTTTTTTGTTCCTGTACTAACGACTCGTTTTCAGCAATTAACTGGTATGGGTTTTACCAACGCGCAACAGAATATTCGGGCATTATTAGCTACGGGTGGCAACGCGCACGCCGCGATTGGGTACATTCTGGAAGGCGGTGGCCTGTAGAGTAACCGGCAGCCGGTATGGTCGATATGGAACGATTGGCGAAGGTGATCAAGAATGCCCACCACGAATTATCTATCTGCATTGTTTTTATTTCCGTATATTTATTCCGAAAACCGAAATTGATAAAACATGCAGGTGCTTCGCTGATCTTTTCATTCCCGATCGATTTCTTGGTCGACAGGGATAGCGATAGATGGTGAACCCAGATGGCTCTTCATCTTCATTCCAGTTGTTAGGCGCGGGAATGGGCTCAGGCGCTCCATCATTAACGCCCAGGGAAATGGTCTTTGCCCGGTTCGGGTGGTTCAGGCACTCGTAAGAGTACCCAATCTTGCCCATTTGTAGCAAAGAGGGTTTCCCTTTCGAATCCTTCGAAGGTCGTTGTTGAGTTAAAGTATTACCGGTTGTCGTTGGAGTAAGGGGCTTGTGAGAGCCCCTTTGAAGCAGACGAACCCGCGGTGGGTTCCGTGGTTGTCAAAGTCGTCTTATTACTAGAGTAAGAAGCAGGGTTAAGAAGCAGGGTTCTGGTGACCCTGTGTGGAAGCAACTCCCTTCGATGAAGGGAGTGGGTTATTGGATTCACTCGGCTTTTCAGTTAAGTGGTTTGAGGATGTAAGATTGGAGGGGGTGAACCCTCCTCTATGCGCGTGATCAACGCGTAGCTTTGAACACATCTTAGCCCTTATCGAAGTGTTCCCACTCAAGGCTGGACCAAATTTAAGGCCTGCAACATGAAGCAGATTAAATGGACGGTGGCACTCATCTCTGGCGTTTCCTACAGTTTCGCAGGATTCAGCCGTGCATCGGTTTGAGCGTTGGGCGCTGATACGCTTTCGAAATCTGCAGCAGCATGGGGAACCAACGATGTTGGTATAAGAAACGCTATAGCGGGAACGACACCGCTAATTGTCCGTGTCATCCCTTCTCTCAGTGTCTACTCGGGAAGTGCCGAGGAATACGAGCCTATTTTGAATTTTGACATCGAACGACGCGCTTTCTGGTATTTGTTTGGTTTTACCGCTACTCGTGGATTTCACCTTTTTTCACTCTTCCTCGCTCTCTTGGGATCCAATCATGTTCAACGTTACGAATCATATCACTTCCGATGTTTTATACGCCCAGGCTGGCACTGATTTCAGCAAGCTGAGTTGGTTGGAGTCGAAATGGGCTGCTTGGTACTTGTGGATTGGCAACCCAGTCCTTGCCACGGGAATCATGAGTTTTTTGATGCACGAGGTTGGATATAATTACATGCATTTATGGCCCGGGGGTGGATTGCTCACTCTTGTGGCCTGGGTCAATAGTTGGTTTATTTTGGTCGTTGTTTACCGTGGATGGTCATTGATGCTATCCCGTATTTCCGCAAGTGGAAGCTCCAACCAGTAAGCAATGTGTTTATGGCGGGATTGGGTGTCGTCTAATTTACACTTGGTCCGTAGAACAAAATCCCAACGCCAAAGGAACAATGGGAGTGCACAAAGTTGGTATTGTTGACGCATTTTACAATTGAACTCCCTCAGGTAACTTGTCTCCACCTCCTTGTCAACGATTAACATCTTTCTGATGCGCATATATAGATTTGGTTCTTCCACCCGCTAGCAGAGTCATTAGGCATGGAAACATGGCAGGTGCCACTACCTCCCTGGAAGACAATTGCACCACAAGTCCTCCTCTTTTTCATTTTGGAAGACGCTTGGCACTACTTCTGTAAGTCGACTTATTCAGGAAGTTTTGTTTTGGATTATTCTGAAATGTACATCTTTTGACGTCTAGCGCACCAAGCTCTTCACTATGGCCCCCTCTACCGACATATCCACAAATTACACCATAGATATAGCGCTCCTTTCGGTCTCGCGGCCGAGTATGCCCATCCCCTTGAGATTCTGATCCTTGGAATGGGCACCGTCGGTGGACCGCTGCTTTTCTGCTACCTTACACGGGATTTGCATATCATTACGGTCTACATCTGGGTCTTCTTGCGTTTGCACCAAGCTGTTGACGCTCACTCAGGATATGGTGAGTCGGAATGACTTTCTTGATTCAATCCGAGTGGGATTTTAATCATCCTTTAGATTTCCCTTGGTCGTTGCGTAACATATTCCCTCTGTGGTCTGGGGCTGAACATCATGATTTCCATCACATGGCTTTCACCAATGTATGACATAACTTTGCAAAGCCTCAGTATGTTTATGGGTGACTGATTCTTCTTACTTGTATACAGAACTACTCCACGTCCTTCCGTTACCTCGACTACATCTTTGGCACAGACAACAAGTACCGCGCTTATAAAGCTCGTGTCGCTGCTGCTGCCAAGGCTGGTCAAAATAGGGCTGAGGTGGAGAAGCGACTGTTGGAGGAGACAGAGAGGGAAGGTCAACTTGCTGAACACGAAGCTGAGATGGCGGGTAGTGTTTTGTCGAAGACTAAGACCTTGTGAAGTGGATTGTTATGATGGATGCGTGGCCATGTCTTGTGATATCTCTTACAAACTTATTTTAATAACATGCCGTGGCTCCCCGTGGGGGGGTCATTACAGCGCCTCTTTCATGGGTTTATGGTTACGCCGTTCTTTTTTCGAAGGCTGCCCAGGTTTTTCACACCACATTTTCGCGTCATCGTGATGCTCATCGATCTTGAGCACGTACGCACGATAAAACTCGGGCACGAATCGGACATGCTGATTGAAGTACTTTTGATTCCCGACTCCCAGGGAGATTCCTCCACGTCTTGCAAAGCTATACCTCCCCGCTCAAGCGACTGCCATACATAGACGGTCATGGGTGGGCTTGGTCTCAAAGCTCAAGATAGCTGGCCGCGGCTAACCGTCTTCAACTAAGGATTCGCACCGGCCGCGATACTCGCCTTAGTGTGGCGGGTCATGCCGTCGCCTACATACTCTCCAAGGAAACGTTTCCCATCAGTTCCTTGAGCTCGCCGAACGATGCGCTCTTTAGGGGGCCTTGTCCTCAAAGGCTTGGTTCCCTTGTTTTTACGCAGGGGGCTTTGGGAAGCCGGAACGCTATGGAGTTTGACATGATGGACCCCGATTGATTGTCCTGACCGCATTTGAAGCGACAGATCGGACCAAAAAGTCACCGTAAATATCAGTATTTGATGACACGACGTTGGGCAAATTGGCATCACATGGGTGCCTAGGCGCAGGTCAGTTGGAGTGCGACCTCGCGCAATGCTCATCGTTCGTGCTTTAGCGTGGATGACAGCCAATAAACTAACTGGAAAGGTCGGTCTTAGCCCACCTCGCTGTCGCCCTTCACCTGTCATTGTTAAATCCAGAGAACCTATCTGAATTAGTCTAGAGGAACTACGCCTTGTTCCCGAAGTCTTGGAATAGGGTGCGATCGTTTGGCCCGGATTTTGAAATTGCCCATCGCTTTGGCATGGCTGACCAAATCCAGAAGATTATTTCACCAAAGAGAAGCAAACCCATTCTGGTAATTGCAAGATGGTATCAAGGTGTGAATACACGCATGGTGAAATACTGAGAGTATTGGAGTGGTGTCTAGGGGCAGGGTAACCCAATGGTGCCACATGGGTGTGAAACGAAGGATGTCAGCGGTCAATATTAAATTGAAGTGGGATGAGCCTCAAAGATGGAAAAAAAAATTAAATGCGACCGAATCATACATCTTTCTTCAGAGTCCTGTGAAGATGCGCTACGACCTGCTTGCTGAGTTTTTCCTGGCCAGTTTTGAGGTCAGGGAACGTTACGGGTAACTCGAGCCTCTCTTTCCCCATCACGATCCAGATACTGTACTCAACACTTCTTCCGGTGTTCACCGCATTAGAGTGGAACACGGGTCGAGGTTTACCAGCTTCCTTACACAATTCTGAATCGCGAGATTTGAGAGATTATGGTCAATGAAGATGAATGCAGCAGCGTGATGGCCTACCGAAGAGCTGCTTCAGATAAGATTTGTCACTGGGCTGGGTGGACTCAGAAACATCTACTTGGACAGTAACAGAAGTTACACTAGGTTCCTGCACCGCCTCCATAGGGGGCCCTGCAGAGGAGGAGAACGGAATAGAGTCATCATCAAACTCAAATGCTCCCAGATGTGCACGAGTGCGATCTGAAGAATCAAGTTGTTTGTCCGGGTCGGCCCCTGAGAAAGTCGTATCAGAGGAGGACAAGGGGTTAGGTCACATTCTACCCACCGCTCGCGTAGGCTGTAGGGTTTGCATCTAAGCTCGAAGACCCAGCGGCAGATACGACACCGCTTTTGAATCTGTTATTATGGTTGGAAGTAGAGCCCGGACTTCCATACAAAGAATCATCATGATAAGAATCGCCACTGGGTGCTGCGTCGAGATCGAGGTATGTCCTGGGACCCTGATCTGGGACGTTGGAATGCTGAGAAGGCTCATGTGGGGGAGGAGGATATGCAGCATAGAGTTCATCGAGAATCTCCTGCTCTGAAAGGGGACGCTCGGCACCAGAAGGCTGAAGTGTGCGCTGGAGTTTTGGTTGAGAATGATACGGATGCTTCGCGAAGCCGGACATAGGGGCGAAGTGGTTTTGATACGGAGGGTGATTGGGCTGCCGTCTCTCCAGGCCAGGGTTAACAAAGGTATGATGGTTCTTCATAAGAGACACCGTGGCCGGGTTCGAACGCGACTCTGCAATCATGGGATGCACAGCAGACCGATTAAAATCACGACCCAATTCATCCCTACCCTTTACACCCCAGTTTTGAAACCTTCCACCGCCGCGGTAGGGAAACTGAGGACGAGCCAGACGTTGGCTACTAGGTCCTCTGGGAATGTGCTGGTCAGGTGTCCATGCATAACCTTCCTGCGATACGTCGCGATCTGAAGGACGACTATACGGCGTGGGCCCATATGGATCGTCTAGACCACGACGCATTGCTTGAGGGTCAAATCCAAGGCGCTGATGCCGACCAAGCACAGGTTGCGAAGACTGCGCTTGAGCAAACTTTCCCTTCCAGGAAGCAGGATATTGAGGGGGAATACGCCCCCGAAACTCGGGGTCCACGCTCATACGGCTTGAATCAAAGTTCTGCCTCGGTCGTTTGAACGGGTTCTCACCGCCGTGACCATCAACAACCCCAGCATCAGACAAAGGTGGTTTTTGATGCTCCAAGGACTCAAGAGCCACGTCCTCAAGTTCACGCTTTCGCTTCTGCAGCATCTTCTGCTTCGCCTCAAGTTCAAGATTTTGCCTTCTGAGTTCCTCCAAAGCCGCTTGTCGTTCTGCAATAGCTTGTCGCTTCTTTTCTTCGGCGATTACCCTTGCAGCAGCATCAGCCGCTCTCTTGGCCTCCACAGCCTCGGCAGCCTTCTTCGTCATATGGACCCTCCAATCAAACGTGTCTCTATTGTAGTCCGCCGGCGGCGACTTGCCGCGAAAACGGATCAACTCTAGCACACCTTGATTGACGGCCATGAGGGCGACGGCTGCCTTCGCGTCTCCGCGACTTCGGTATTCCATTTTTGTCCTATAAGTTCGTTTGGAGACGCCATTCTCCATTGGTATTGGTACCGTGAGGTTGCAACCGAAGACTGCCATAGTGGTCAAACCCATTATTACGGGCACCGCTAACAAACAATATGAGGCACCTTGATTCTCGCAGATGAACTCCCATTCTGCTCTCTGACTTGGTTTTGTACGAGATAAATCCTGTGTAATGACAGTATATAGCTTTGTTGCTTGTTCCTAGGAAATGATCAATGCCAAGCTTCAACTGATGCACTCCCTTTGGAAGATAGTGCAGAACATTTAGTAGAACGATACGAACTTTCATATCTTTCGTCAAACTCTCATTGTACTTGATCCCTGTCGAGCGAATATATTCCCCGACATCTTCGGATATAGCCTGGAGGCAAACAGCAGTCTTCGCTTCTTGTCTTTTGGAAAACACTGCATCGACCATGTAGGACCTAGAAGGCAAAGAAGGGTGATCTAGACGCAAAACGCAGCCATGCACTGGTACCAAATGGATCTCCATCAACGTGCATACTTAGGAATGATAAACGAAAGCCACATACAACCAGATCGTGGATGCATTGACCATGAGAAAGTCAATGTCAGCTGGCAGCCTTTGTTCTGTTGCAGCATCTGATTGACCCATGACTTCGGGTCCACCAAATCCCCAGAGCCGACACCCACACCAGGGGCCGGGAGCGGTTTGGGAAGGGCGTCCCAAAATGTGTTGATCGTTTGGATCTTGGTCATTTCGTTTTCCTTTGCGACCCTGTCGGAGGCTTGGCGAGTTGCCGGAAAGGATGGATCATCCGGTCCCTCCATAAGGTATTCGGGAGGAGCATATTCTGCCGCTGATGGCATAGGTTCTTGTTGCCCATCCCCGTGTTTGATGAATTCGAGGATGCCTTGGGCAACGGCTTCTTTTGCAACCGCAGCTTTCGCATCTTCATCGTCCTGATGCGCCGTCCGGACAGAAAACACTTTCTTCAGATGTGGGGTAAGAGCGATGCGAAGTGCGCAACCATGAACTGCAGAAGTCCCATATGTGCGTTAGAACGACAAGCGGATGCGTAATAGAGTGCATTTCAACTGACGTCCCGTCTTTGGATCTGTAGTTCTAACGAAGTCAGGTCGAACGTGGTCGGCACGCCACTCCTTACAGCATTTGTCTATTTCGTCGACTTCTTTGAGTTTCTCAGATCGGTCAACGACAAGAAGTTGTTCCGATTGGCCCTTCGTCTCACCAGCAGGAACCACTAATCCACTACTGCCATCCACTGCGGCGGCGGCTGCGGGATCAGTGTGTTTCTTCCCTCGTTCTTTGTCCGGGGCGTTGACTAGGCGGAGATTGTGCAGTGAGTTGGTACCGGGATCCCCGCCCGCAATAAAGAGCAAAGCATCATGTTGAATAGCGATGGTCGCTACTTTCGCTTTCGCCTCTCCTTTACGGGCGAACACGGGTTCAGTAGTGTATATCCTCTTCTGACCGTCAGGCTTGGTTATTGTCAATATGCATTTCTTGCCTGAGAAGCACCCTTGAGTGAACATCGAGGATTCCATGAAATGTAAAGAAAACGTTACGTCGGGGACCCTGATCTTCCAGGAAATCATAATTCAGATGATGAACGGACGACCCAAAGGCCCGCTGGGCAGCTCGGTTGAGTTTCGCCACGCTGGCATACTGTAGTTGGTGGGCAGAGGTAGAGTTCAAGCCCTGTATGATTTCTTCGTCTTCCTGTAATTCAACATCTTCCTCGACATGAGTAGATGGTAAGGTTGGGGGTTGAAAGGCGTCGTAGTCGGTGGCAGGATTCGAAAAAGTAGATAGAGATGCGCTCCCAAGAGCAAGGAGTTTCTTTGAAATCTCTGCTCGGTCTGAGTTGGATGGATTTGAGAGGAGGTCTGCTGGTGTTGAGTTGAGTTGAGTTGAGATCGACATGGAACCGTCGCGATCCTGATCCCGAGATAGCTCTGCAGAGGAGCCAACGAATGAGCCCGGCTTTGTCTTGGAGGGAAAGCCCATCTCAGCGGTCACTATTTTCAGCATCATTCGTTCGCAACTCAGAGGAATATCGGAGGGTCCGGAGTGTAAATGCTGAGATCAGAAAAGCGCCCACCTTCTGGGGTGTTCGGCAATTCCCAGTTCCAGGATCGGCACTGCCTGATTGCAGACTTGCAGCAACGCAGGCTTTGGTACTTCATCTATTGGATCTGATTCCGGCACCTAGGTAGCACGCGCGCTTACTTGATGTGTGTATGTTGCTGATTTGCCTCCACGGTAAGATACCGCGTCCAAAACAACTTCACATTTGGTACCTCCCGGAGATTTACCACTCCCGATATAGTTTGCAAGACTCAGGTTCAGGTTCTTCCAGGGATGATACCAGCATTTTGGTAGACAGTCCTGCAATCCTCTGCTACAAAAAGCTTCTTGCACTTACACGTGCAATGGCTGTCACGATGGAAACTGTGGCCACTCAGACGCGGACGGAGCAGTGACCAGAAATGCCGCAGTTTACTGCAGCACACGCAACTCTAACAAGCTTCCGCCCCCTGAACATCCTCAATACGTGCGACGTGCGATGTGCAGCGTCTTGTAGAAACGTAGACTGTTCTCAGTTGTCGGTAACGGGCATTTATGAATCCAGCGTGGTTTCTTGTGCGAAGCTGGGTGAAGGTAGCACAAGCGATAGATCTAAGCATGACATTAGGAAATATATCTCTTTGAGCTAGCAAGGCGTATATATCAATGAGCCGGTTTGCACCGGGCCTTCGAGCTTCTCAATCTTGGTCAAGGGAATCTGTGTCAAAAATCAATCAGCATCTCTCCGGGCTGACCGTTCCCGGTCTACCCAGACCCTAAATTTTCATTAACGGGGCTTGTGAGCGCGTAGATGGAAATGATGACTGGTGTGGCCTCGATTGTTTAACCTCACTCATTTCATATACGACTAATCCCTCCAGCTTACATGTGACACGTTTTCCCCAATCTCGAATATTCTGAGTAGATGCAATGTATTCATAGTACTTACTCAGACGTTTCTCTCAATCATGAGAAGTTTGATGAGACGATGGGAGGCTGTGACCGCTTCGTGGGAGTTGCCGAGGTGCCAAACTAACTCCGCGGTGTTAGACCATATTCAACGATCCTCCAACCTCAGGCACACCCCGAGAGGCCACTAACTTTAAGTAAGTGAGCTTGAATTAAGGATATTCACTTGTTGGCGCTTATCTACTCCCTCTTGCACTCGCTTTGGCAACGAAACATGATTATGCAGCGTCTAAACGACCCCTCCATTTTCACGGACCGCCCTATCACCGGGGAATCGATCTCGAATGACCTCTCGCAAGCGAGAAGGTGAGGCTGCTACACCTGCAGCCTCGGATTCCGCGTTACAGAAACCCAGCAAGAGGGTTAGAAAGGCCATAAACTGGTGTGTGTTCTTTAAAATTGCATTTTCTTGCCTATATGCGATGGCATTTATTATTGATCCCCCCTATATATTCACCAGTGAGCCTTGCCGAGCTTCCAAGTTAAAATGCGACCGAGGCCGTCCTTGTTCCGGCTGTGTTCTGCGTGGGACGACGGCACAATGCTATCCTGATGAGGAAAGGGGACCGCCCCCGCTTCAGGACCATAAGAAAGAAGAAGCGACACTGTGAATACCCTGGGATGTTTAGATTCTGTGGACTATCCATTCACTTGCAAACCATTCTCAATACAGGTCGTTAGTGGATGTACGGACGGAGGTCGGCCGTATTCGCAAATCGCTTGCCATCCTCGAGTCGTTGGTTCCACGAGAGGGTAGTTTTTCAGCTTTCTTGTCTTCTTCATCTTTCCAGGGAATACTCTTGTCGTTGATGAAGCAGTACGATCTGACACCCACTAGGCCGAAAGAAGGAGGTTTGTACCTTGGTCCAACGGCCCCTTGTTCAGCCGTCTTGACTCTGAGAGTGTGTTAAGTCTATGCCACGCCGAAATTGGATATTGCTCACTCTAATTGCCAATTAGAGCGACGAAACCGGTTCTCCGGTCCAGTCTGAAACACTGGCCGCTTCCGCAATCAGAGCTCTGCGCTCCCCCCACGCCAACGCTGATATTCGCTCAGAGATACCTACTGACTTCGTGTATACGACTTCTCTTATCACTTTCTTTTTTACTCGTACCTCCCCCTGTCCCCCTATTGACCATAATGCTTTCAGTGAGGCATGGGCACGCGCACGAGGCTCGGATTATACGGACCATCTTGTCATGGCGACTCTGTTCCTTATGCTGGCCGTCGCTGTTTACTATCTTCCCCCTCGCGATCCTCTATTGGCTCGTCTGCCTGCACCGCCCAACGTCGTGGCGAACAGGTGGTACAACGCCTCGTTGATAGCAGCAAATCGCTACAAGAAGTTTAAAAATCCCCCTGATTTGGATTGGATTGAGATGCTTCTTCTCAAAGCGCAATTTTTGAGCATAAGTGGCGCAGATCATGAAGAGATATGGGGAGTTAAGTGCGAAATTGGCTCGGCTGCGTTGGCGATGGCTCTTCACCGAGACCCTGGGGCGTGGAAGATGGATTTGGAGGAAATTCAGAGGCGCAGGTGGGTATGGTGGAACTACGTCGTTCTCGAGAGGTGGTTGTCTTTTCTGGTGGGTTTGTGTCTGCAGTACTATCGGTCGACTTTGGTTTCTCATCGGGGAATCGTTTTTCTTCAGTTCGGTCGCCCGCTCGCCGTTCGGTCAGACCATTTCGATACTAAGTATCCTGTTTCTGATGCAACGCCTTCCCGAACGGCCACTGGCTCATCTCAAAAGTTGGTTGTGAATCACCCTTCTGCTCCGCTCTCCCATCTTTTCGCACTCGCGCAATTCCGCCTTGCCGCCATCATCGGTGAGGTAGTCTCGGATGCGACATCTGTTAAACCTGTCCCATACGACCGCGTCAAGGAACTGGACAAGTCTCTTGAAGATTGGGAGAGCATGTTGCCCGAAATTCCGTATAACTCAAACATGGACAGATACGGTATTGGAATCAATGGGACCATGAACAGGGGCAACCTTGACCCGTTCGAATTGAGGACTTTGACACTATGGAAAGTACATCTCAGGGTGCAGATGTTTCATGTTCGTTTCATTATGCATCGACCTTACATGAACAGCGCTTCCCTAAATGGGTCGGATGGAGCTGGAGCATGGTCAGTAAATGGCCGTGCCACGGCGATACAAGGTCCTGGAGCTCAAGCCTGCCCCCCACCTCACTCTGGCAGCGTTCCGCCATACACCGACGGGAGCACTGAGGGGAGCACCTCGAGTGTAGTTGCACCCTCAACCACGCCAAGTTATGAAGCTGCTTTACACTCGGCAGAAATGGTTATTCAGCTTGTTTCCGATGCGAGCATTCAGCTCCTGGGTGAAGGTTCAAGCCCGTCTGGCGGAATGGGCTTTCTTGGTGTTCCTGGGCACATCGCTTGGAGTGGGTCATGTTCTCTTGTTCCATCTTGTTAATCTAACCCTGCCCCCCTCTGAACAGTTGGATATTCCCTTTTCTCGGCTTCCGTCTTCTTCGTAACGCTCATGCTCACAGGGCGTTCCAATGCGCCTTCCTGGTCGAACACTTCGGTCCACTACCGTCGGATCTTAGCCGCATCCGAAACACTTAAATATGTCAAAGCTGCGGTCCCTTTCGCAGAAAAGGCGCTTCTTGTACTATATGCCATGGCTCCGTTTTTCGAAGACGATCTTGACGACGCAGGGAAGAAAGCTCAAATCGACGCCATCCGAACCTTAGCGTTTCCGGGCCACAAAGACCCTCCTTTGCCCTTGCATAAACCAGACAACGGTGCTTTGGGGGACTTGAGCGCTCACGAGTCATTGGAAGCCGAACTCGAAAGGGATTTGGACTCGCGGCTTGAAACTCATGTGCCATCCAAATATGACGGGCACCATCGCGCAATCGCAGCTCCGAACGTTCCTCCCCCTCAGCAGAACGTGATTTCGCCGGTGGTGAGGGCACCCGTGGAAGCGGACGAGTTACCATCTATGCCTGGATCCTCGATGGCAGGTCGAGCGACTTCACAGGCTTTCACGTCCGCGGAGCCTGCGAGCATTTATGGTACACCTGATAGATCGACGCGTCCTCCGTCATCAATGCGAAGCCCCTCTGAGGTGTCGATGGTACCCTATCATCTACAACAGCAGCCCAATTCCTTTCTTAATCCCATAGTGATGGGTCCAACCGATGGTGTCTCGAGTCCGATTAGTGGAGTCGAACCCCCGTATAATGTTCCTTTGAACGAGCCATTCCAGATAGCCGACAATTTGTCCGCGGAGATGAGGGCGATGCCACCTCCCTCAACTGGTGGTCACACTGCCCGCAATCTTGCGGTTCCTACATCTCAACCAAGTGCGGGCAGTCATTCGGCAATGTCAGCTCCACCTGCTCTTCACCCCTCCCAGTCATCGACAGAGGCCATGTGGTATCCCCAGAATCGCCTCGTCGGGAGTTCTCAAAAACAAAGTGGCAGTGGGATGGGGTTGGGGATGGCAGTTGGTCCTGGAATGGGGATGGTGATCTCACCTCAGCCCAAAGTGAATCAGCCTCCCCAGTACTTCTTGCAGCCTAACGCTGCGCCTCTCTCTGGACCTGGAACATATATGGGACACATCACCCCTCCTGGAATAGCTGGAGTTGCGATGGGCCCTCCTAGCGCAATGGATGTTTATGTGGGTTATATCCAGCGGACTGTAGGAGATGAGGTTTGGGAGCCCAATCCTCACGGCAGTTCCGATGGGGTGGACTGGGCCGATAGCGGCTCTTCCCAAAGGCAGCAATGGTAAGGTTTTCTCTGTGATGCAGACGCGACATTGTGACTTTCTTATCCCGACTGGAGAGCTTTCCTCATCTATATGCTTGCTTTGGGGGCTCTGAGATTTTGCTTGTGTATGATATTCCTTGTACATACTTTATCACTATATCGTGCCCAGTACTCGAGTGATCGTGTTTGTCATGTTCACAATCTATTATAATCGTCGGAGACACGACACTACAGTCATGGAGCAGGTGGCAGCTGAAGAAAGCACAAATGTATGTATAGTCCATCCGGATCCAGATTGTGGATTGCGACGGCAAGAGACAAGTAGGGAAACTACAAAGATCCTATCTGGGTGGTCCCTGCCTGCCCTGCCAACTGTCTCTTGCTTTACTAGCTTTGGTGTCAATCCTGACATACTCAGCCTCATCCAGGGCACTCCCTTCTTTCTTCACGTTCAAATATGCTTCTCCAAGCACAAGCAGAGCTCTAGTACGTAAAGCTAGTTTCTCCCTGGATGGAGCATTAGGCCCGTTGGGGGGCGGATTTAGTACACGATCGCACGTCTCCCTCAAGACAGAATCTATTTCGAGCTTCGTCCCTTTGAAGAGCGCTTGAAGTCCCTTCTCGGCTGCCTGCTCTTCCAGATTTTTCTTCTCCGCTTCGGACGCCCCTGATTTCTCTGCTTCTGCAAGCTGTTCGAAGACTTGCTTCAATTCGAGTGCTATCAAGATACGTTAGTGAGAAACGAGGGACGAGATATATACTAACCTGAGCGCACCGTCGAGACACTACCATGCCACGCAGGATTTGTTCGTTCAGAACAGTACGAATAATCATGAGGCTCCACTCACGTTTCAGTGAAAGTATGATATGTTCCCTTGATCCCGTGCATCCACCCGCCAACGCCTAAAAAAGTCGAATTCGTTGCTGCGTAGTGTCTAAATCAACCCATAGAGGTGAGCCGTCGAATGGGTGGAGATTACTACACCTACCTAGCTTTCGCAACGTAGGCGTGACCCACGGCATGCAAGAGTTCCACTCCGTACGACTCTTGCTTGAGCTCTTCTGCTTCAATTTGGCATATCTGTTTCCAACTGCTTAATACATCCCGGTCGTCAGGCCCAACGGCCGACTCGCTGAAGATGGAAAGCTTGCGTTCTAGCTCGGCGACAAGCTTCCGAACCCTTTCTTCCCGAACTTTCGTTCTCTGCGTTGAGGATCCGTCCATGAGCCTAGTAGAGATTTAGGGTTTCAGGGAGTACGCACTTCAGCAGCAATCCTTTTGTCCTTCTCCTCTTTCTTGGCCTTCTCTTCAGGCGTTAGAGCCTCCTTGCCCTTTTTCCCTTGACCCGAAGCTTCGGCCTCATCTGCTTCCTGCAAAGCAGCCTTCATATCCCTCCCAAGAGAGATGTCGCCAATAATTGGCACAAATCTCTCACCACCGAAGATCGCACTGAAAATTTCTTCGGGGTCGACGAAACCTCCTTCAGGAGACCCTTCTTTAGGACCGAATTCATTGTACTTCTTGCGTAGGACAGGGTCCGAGAGGACCTGGTAGGCCATCGCTATCTCTTTAAACTACATCATATGTTCTTAGATGCCAAATTTTCCCAGCGAGGCTAATGTATTGAGGAAAGCTCACTACTTCCTCGGAGCCTCCCTTGTCGGGATGATTCTTGATCGCCTGGCGCCGGTAGGCTTTCTTTATTTCTTCGTCCGTCGCGTTAATGGGAACCCCAAGAAGATCGTAATACCTAGTTTCCTGTTGATGTTAAGATTGATGAGGGAGTACCAGCTAATAACACTTAGGGGCGATGAGCCACGGAAAGTGTGCCTACCAATGGTCTCTCGTTTGTCCCAATTTTTCGGCCTTTCCGAGCACCAGATGATGAAGATGAGTCACCATTACCCTGAGCGCCGTTCAAACTCGTTAGGCCCCCATGCGAATGGAAATTAATGGAGTGCGATTGGATGTTTCCGCATTGAAAGCATTGTACTTGGTACGATATGGAAGAAGAGGTAGAGCTAGTGGGCTGTGTAGGCGGAAGGAACTCCAAGGGCTTTGAGCATTCGGAGCAAGGCCCTATCTGGACATGGGGTACGGCTAGACGTGAAGGTAGAACTTCTGTGGATGACATCGATTTGACTTCACGTGCAGAAAGCTGATGATTCAGATCCTTCAGAGGCTATTGAATTTGCAATGGTATTCAATTTATCGGACTTGAGAACTAACACGGCCCAGCCAAGCCCAGCTCTCCTGCTTTCAGTCGTTTATTTCGACGACGGTTCGTGCATGTAGCATACTATATATGCATGTGTACCGAACAGACATTCCAGAGTCACGTGATTATCGAACCGTGTCACTTCAGGAGCGGCCCCAACATGTCGGACGTGTATAATCTCAAACTCTTACTGATAGGTTTGTGATCATATTTGCATTCCACTTTATTAACTAATAGTGCTTTTATGTTTTCACTATTTCGCCGACCGGGTGATAGGTATGTGATCTCACGAGTTTCCACTGTGAGTCCGCAGGCCTTGTTGTGTCTTTATCCAGGCAATTCTTCTGTGGGGAAATCCAGTCTTCTCTTGAGGTTTGCGGACGAGACTTGGCTCGACGAGGATGAGAGCCATGCGACAATTGGGGTCGACTTTCGGTTAGTGTTGTTGCAGCTTTGCGATTCAATCTGACCATTCGGTCTGCCCTTGTGTAGGGTACATCGAGTGCAAGTCAAGGATGGAAAGAAGGCGAAACTCAGCATCTGGGTGAGTTTACTCGGCTGCTGCGTGCGTGTGGACATTATGGTATTCATTCGAGGGGCCAGGACACAGCAGGGCAGGAGAGGCAGGTCGCTCACATTAGACTGCCAAGTCACCTGTCTGAACAGTGGCCAGGTTCCGAACTATAACGTCTTCTTACTACCGTGGGGCCCAAGGGATTATTTTGGGTATGCCGACATGCATCATATCCCATTCGTGATGTCAGACACGATTTCGTTTGCAGTCTACGATGTTTCTAACAGGGAGTCATTTGATGCCCTGCCACGATGGTTCTCGGAAATGGAGTCCTACGTCTCTCCTTCTGTTGTTAAGATCATAGTTGGTAAGGATGACCTCATGTTCGATCCCTGGTGACGTTGACTTGCTACATCTAACAGGGAATAAGGTTGATAAGGTATCGTGCCTCAGAGGAATAACCGATATCTTTGAGAACTCCATTTTGTAGGAATATTCACGAGCTGTCTCCCCAGGAGAAGGTCGGAGATTTGCTGAAAGGATGAACTCCCTTTTCATAGAGGCCTCTGCTAAGACAGCAGTTGGAGTTCGTCAAGTATTCATTGACCTTGTCGAAAGGGTTAGTACACCATTCCCTCAATGATCGCATGCATCCCGGAAATCATCTGTGTTCCTAGATTATTGATACCCCTGAGCTGTGGTCAGCTTCGGCTCCCCGTGGTATACCCAATCAGCCTGGTGTTGCTATGCCTGGGAATATCTCCCTCACTCAAGTATCTGACACCTCGGAACCTTGGGCTTGCTCCTGTTAGAAACCTGACTGTGTGCAAACTACGTTTCTTTGGCGTAAATGTTTATACCCATACATGGACCAGCGTTTCATTACCATAATTACTGCAATTAACGAACTTCAGTGACCGACCTACAAGGCTATCTGCATCCTGTGTGCATGTTGGTTTTTGGTTATCATACATAAATCGCATGCATGTACTAGTCGTTTCTACGCAGAATACCTTGTCCATTTCAATTCTGAATGCCCAATTTTGGTGATCTCCGAAGGGTTTTTATACAGACCAAGCACCTGGTGGCAGCTAGCCCATCACCATAGCAAGCAGAGCCATACGGACCTGAAGAGGGTGAGATAAGCAACAGCTAGAAATCTTGACGACTTACAAAGAGCCCGTATCGCATCTGTCGGAAGTACACTGCGCGCCGAGAATCAAAGTCAACCTCAGGGTCAATTTCTGAACAACAGGACCAATCAATTTCGATCCAAACCTGTGAAACGAGGGCTACCTACCAGTTAGCCGAGGCAATGGATGCATGACGATCATATCTGCCTTCGCTCTCGCAAGTACAGAGTGATCAACGACGTACGACTTGTGGACCCGCTCCCATTCGAGGAGATCGGTGAAACGTTCCTGTTGAACGCGAGTGACATAAAGCACATCTGTCCCAGATAAAACATCGTTGAGCGAGTTGGTCTCTGTGATGCTCACACTCGCTCTTCTCGCTGCAGAGGTGACACTGTCGGGCATGGTGAGTTCAGGCGGCGAGACAAAATTTAGCCGAACTGAGTAGAAACAGAGAAGGGTGACGAGACTATGGACCGTCCGACCGTTCTTAAGATCGCCGAGGAGAGTGATAGTCTTTCCATTGACAGTACCAAGCTCAGATCGAATAGTGAAGATATCGAGCAAAGCCTAAGGCATTGATCAGTTCTATTCGTGACGGCGCTGGGTATGTGCAGTACCTGAGTAGGGTGCTCTCCTACACCATCTCCGGCATTGATAATCGGTACCGGCGAGAATTTTGCGGCGCTGGAGACAGCCCCCAAAGTTGGATGTCGCAAGACAATCGCATCTCCATAACAAGCAAGAGTGCGAATGGTGTCTGCGAGGCTTTCTCCCTTGGCGACGGAAGACCTGTCTGCCGAGACAGTAACGACCTCGCCTCCAAGACGCTTCATCGCAGACTCGAACGAAGAACTGGTGCGAGTGGAAGGTTCGTAGAAAACATTACACAATATCCGACCGCGCAACACGTCAATAACACCATTTCGTTCGACTTGCAGACGCATTTCATGAGCAAGGTCAAACAATTGGTGTATATCAAGGTGCGAAAATTGTTTCACACTGAGGATACTACGTCGGTGGAACGCTGGATGAGGTGGGGGCAAAGTCACGAGTCGGTTCGGCGAGATATCCCGCGTTGAGAGATGGAATGCTTGCGGGACGTCAGTGACACGACTCGCAGAAGCAAGAGTAGGAGATACAAGCTGGTCAACTTGGATTGAAGGCCGATTAGTTGCGATAAAGGAACTAGCCCTGCCAGCAGCGCGCTGGATTGGCATGACTTGCAGACCGGAAACGTCGCGACCCAAAGGATTTGCAAAGTTCACACCATCAAGATAGACGGTTTGACCTTGCAAGACAACCCTATGAACGCAACCCTTCACCATTACTCCCTGAAGTGGTGACCAATGTGGACCTTGAGCAAGATAAGTAGTCCTTCTATTTATTTCGACTTCGACCTGAGAATTCGGCTGCTCTGGTAGCTCGAAGATCTTCAGAGGATTGTCGTGAAGTTTAGCGCGAATATCGTCCAGCGTCAGTTGGCCTTCAGACTGTGCAGTCAATAACAATGGTAAGGTTTCTTCGATACCACTCCGGGCACTGGAAGATTCCCCGAGATCGAGGGCTAAGCGGTAGGGTGCTGTCCCCACGGCAAAGACATCAATGGAGGATAAATGACTCCACAACGCCTGCTGATCAGCGAAAGTAGGCAAGTGGGTAGACGCAGGATACTGTTCTCGAGTGAAGAATAAAGAGTACACAGACACATCACATGTCACTTTCAGTCCCCTTTCTTTGCTGAGTGCAATGAGTTGAATGTCCTCTTTGCTGCCAACATCGGCAACGTGAACGCTTCGGTTATGGAGGCTCGCAAGGAGAAGAATTGTCGCCAAGTCGGTAGCACGTGCATCGGTAATGATAGGTTTCTCCTTGGGCCAGGCAGCAAAATGTGCAGCTACTGCAGCTACTTTGCTGATATTTTGGTCTGACAAGCCATTGAACGGAATAAACAAAGCTTTCGCTTCCTCCTGAAGCTCTTCGTCCAGCGTTGAGGCATTAGTTGCCGAGGCAGCGATCGACAGTGCGTAGTTGCTATAAGCCGCTCCTTTGAGGTTGCTTCGTGTCACATCCAGACTTTCGCCACTCGTGACACTGGCTTCGACGTCGAAGGGCATGATCTGAACGGTTGTAAATCCAGCACTAACTGATGCTTTTGTCATGAGCTCGAAGTCTCTGGACCCTTGCTTCATCCTCGGTACGAAAGCCTGAACATTGATGAGGCCGGGGAGACTGAATGTCGTGTGAGAGGTCTTGAAGTCAATTGGCGATACCTCCAGCGGCATCTTTCTAACCAAAGCCTCAGCTAAAAGCTTCGCTATCTTGACATTCGTTATCAGTGGGACGGCGAAGTCCACTGCCATGCGCCGAGTGCGATATCCCTTACTCGTATAGGTGGCGGGGCGACGATAGTTGTTCTTTGAGGGCAAATTGATGTAAAGGTCGATCATGTTGTTAGCGAGATGCTGAGTCAATGAGTACTCGGACTTCTGGGTATGACTACCACTGTCTGGCAGAGCTTCAAGGTACTATGGGAAGGTGTCAATATATGACACGTCCATAGCAAGGTATGCAATGCACCTTGCAAGGAATGTTATGTTCGGTGAAGAAATCCGCTGTTCCCGCCGTTCCGAGTAGGTTGTATCCTGCTTGGTGAAGCTTCTGGACGGATGGCAGCATTTCTAGCTTCTCCTTAAAACTTCCGATAGATAGGAGGATGTTCTTCTCGGGCAAAACGATGCCGGTGGAAATGAGTGCTTTGAGGTATGCCTCGTACTTGTTCTTTCCAAAGCAGGCTACTTCGCCTGTGGAGGCCATCTCGACACCCAGAACAGGGTCAGCTCCGGAGAGCCGATTGAAGCTGAACTGTGGGACTTTAACCCCAACGTAGTCAGGAGGAAGATTCAAGTCAGGGTACGGAACGACGGGAAGATCCAGCATGACTTTGGTGGCCATCTCGATTGCATCAACACCAGTAACCTTGGACACAAAGGGGAAGGAACGTGCAGCACGGAGATTACATTCGATGACCTTAATGTCGTTATTCTTCGCGATAAACTGGATGTTGAATGGGCCAGTAACGTTGAGTGCATTACCAATCTTGCGTGTCGCGTCTTCAATACGTCGAACAGTCTCCGGATCCAGGTCTTGAGGTGGCAGCACCAAGGTAGCATCTCCAGAGTGGACGCCAGCATTCTCGATATGCTCCGAGATATAATGCATTACCAGCTTCCCGTTTTTGGCGATGGCATCCATCTCAATCTCCTTTGCCTCTTCGATATACTTCGAGATGACAACAGGATGTTCGCGTGAGACGGCAGTTGCTTGATGAAGATAATTTGACAAATCATCCTCGGTGGAAACAACATTCATGGCCGCTCCCGACAACACATAGGATGGCCTGACCAAGACGGGATATCCAACTTCAGTGC